TCAAATATGTCGTTGTTTTCTTATGAGCCCCTCCGTGCTGTTCCTCCATGCCACCTTCGTCTTCCATGCGCTGCGTCGCCCCGCAACCCCCCCCCGCCCCCCCCCTCCCCCTTCTGTCCGCCGACCCGCCAGGATCCCACTAACCTCGACTTCGACCACCCTATCGCTGATCGCTTGCCCTCCACTCGATGTCCTTCTCGATGTCTTCCTCCTCCGTGGGATCCCGTCCCCTTCGGTCTGGACCTCTCGATCGGATCCTTGATCCTCTTCACCGTTCGCTGCCCTCGTCCGTGCCACCTTCGTCTTCCGCCCGCTGCGCCGCCCCACCTCCGCTGCTGCCCATCGACCTCCCGCTCCCTGATCCCGCTTGCTCTCCTCCGTCCTCTCCTCCTCTTTACCCTCCACCTCCCGATCCCGATCGCTAATCCGCTTCACTGTTCGATGTCCTCCGCGCTGCGTTCCTCTCCTGCGCCCTCCCTTCCTCCGTGCCACCTTCCTCTTCCGTGCGCTTGCTGCTCCAAGATGACCCGTGCCACGTCCGCTGCCCGCGCGCCGTGCCACGTCGGCTCTCCCCCGCTCTCATGCGCTTCTTCGGATAGCGCACCCACTCGTCATCGACCGTTGCTCCACCAACATCGGTAGAACCCCGCGCAGGCCCCGCTGGGCCACGCCGGGTCGACGACTGCCTTCGGGAAATTCCAGACGGCGCCCCGCGGGAAGTGAGAGAGGGATGGGGCCCGATGCTCAGTACAAAGGCGGCCCGGGTTTTTTTTTTTTTTTTTTTTCAAAGTTCAACATTCGATTGCAATTTCCCTTTTTTCTAAACTACACTACTATGTTCTTCTCTCAAATTATTTTTGCCTTTCACTACCTTCCTACCACTACTCCTAAGACTACATAATATATATAGTTTCCCTTTTTTTCTAAACTACACTATGTTCTTCTCTCAAATTATTATTTTTATTTTCTTTTTTGGTATCTCAAATTATTTCTGCCTTTCACTACTACCTTCCTACCACTACTCCTAAGACCTATGACTATATAATATATATAGAGGGGACTCCTGCAAGCATAGGGCCTCGCAAACGAGGTAAATCATGTTGCCCCACGCCCCAACAGCAACAGTCAGAGATGGGGTGGGGCCGCCCGTGGGGGTCCGGCTAACGCAAAGACCAAGCAGTTTGCCAATAGCTGCACCTCCCTTTCTCATTGTCCCCCACCAGTAGCAGCAGAGGCTATGGCCAACTCTCTCCCACACACAACCCACTCGCACTCGCACTCACTCGTCATAGACCCCGCGCACTCACTGGCACTGGTCATAGACCCCGCTAATACCGATCAGTGCGCCGCAGGTGTCATGGGCCTTGAACCCACAACCTCCTAAATGCGACTTGCGTGCCTAACCAACTGAGCTTTTGTTGGCCGCTGGAATTTTTTATTGTCACTACAGTATTACAGGGAGCCCGTAGCAGCCGCATCCGTACTCAAGCCTCCAACAAGGGAACAAACAAACAAACAAAAAAAAAAAATGGGGTCCTCAACAATACATCCTGTGGAGTGTCAGGGAACTCAAATGGAACACTGTTCCTCTCGGTCGTAATGGGCAGGGATCAGGCCGTCAGTTGGCCTGTGGAGTAGTATTAGGAATTGGTAATAGGACGTCATAGGTTCTTAGAAGGTGTATAGGCTATAAGGACAGTGAGTATATTTGTCAAGCACGCTGAGTTAGACCGGGAAGTGGTTGGAGTTAAACCACCAGTACTTGGGCACTGCGCGCCGCGCCGGCCGCACCTTTTTTGAAGTGGCGCGGGCTGTCGATACGATTTATCGACGGCCCGCCGGTAGCGAAATTCCCGTAGCGTTAACGCTAAGGCGTCGCCCAAGTACTGGTGGTTTAATCTATAACTGTCTGAAAAAAGCTAAACTGGCTGAAGCTGCCAGGATAACTCCGGGTTGAATTGTGAGGTTTCCCCGGCCTCTGTCTGAAGTTCTTTTTTTCGGAATATAATTGAATGTCTTTGCTCCAAAAACAAAAAAGAAAAAAGAAAAACAATACATCCTGGGGCTTGGTCCCACTTACTTCTTTCATGGTAGCTGCCTACGCTGGAGCGACCGGTAGCGGCGCCATGGGACTGTTGATTGAGGTCCAAATGTGCCAACGTCAGGCTGATGGTTGCACGATTGAGGTCCAAATGTACCAACGTCAAGCTGATGGTTGCACTGAATACCATTTCTGGGAACAACGTTTATTGGGCGTGCGCACTACCGTTTGCTTGCGCTTTCATTGTAGGTGGGCACCATTCCTGCAGCGGGGTACAACGATGAAGTAACACTTTAACAATTTTCCCATTTGGATTGCCATTTGCGCAGTGAAAATATTGTCTACGGTGAACCTCGCCCACTGGAAGTTAGGGTTTGATTCCACACCTCGTAGTCAGGGTACTTTCGGGAAAACAATGGGTTCCCACGCATTTCCGTGGCGAGGGGGCCTTGAAAATAAACCGGCTGTTTCTTCTCTCGGCCTCCTGCGTGGCAGCACTGGAACAAATTGTGCCGGTTTGGGAAAACAAAATTCCGAAAGCGCCCTCCCCCCTCCCCCCTCCCCCCTTCCCCCTCCCCCTGAAAGTTGGCAATTTTGATTTTTTTTTTTTTTTCGGTAGTCCGCCATTGGTTCTTCGGGTTGTGGTGCAGCTCGTTTCGGCGTACATGTACGAAAAGCATCCCAACTGTTGGGCCTGTGGGACCCAAATTTTCTTTTACGGACCAAATGCCGCGGGCTGACAACCAAGGAACTTTTTCGAGTTTTTGGTAAAAACGAAGTGTGGGATCAAACCCTTAAACCACCAGTACTTGGCCCAACTATCAAGTCCGCCTCAGCGACCGGTAGGCGGATCGGTGTCGAGGCTCGGACCACCGGGCGTTCAATTCCCGGAGCTGTTGTTGAAAGAAACATGAATGAAAAAAGGAAAAGGAAAAGAGAAAGCAAATACGAGACCATTAAAAAAAAAAGGAAAAAAAAAAAAGAACAGATGCGCGTGAGAGAGAGAGACTCGCCGCCTCTCTCTCTCTCTCTCTCTCTCTCTCTCTCTCTCTCTCTCTCTCTCTCTCTCTCTCTCTCTCTCTCTCTCTCTCTCTCGTGCCGCGGGCCGACATCCAAGGAACTTTTTCGAGTTTTTGGTAAAAACAACGTGTGGGATCAGACCCTTAAACCACACGTACTTGGCCCAGCTATCAAGTCCGAGCCTCGGCCAACCGGAAGGCGGATCCGTGCCGAGGCTTGAGCTACCTGGCATTCAATTCCCGGAGTTGTTGTTGAAAGAAACACGAACGAAAAGAGGAAGAGGAAAAGAAAAAGCAAATACAAAAATATTAAAAAAGAAAAAAGAAAAAGAAAAATACGAGAACATAAAAAAAAGGTCAAAAACGAAAAAACGTGTGTGAGAGAGAGAGAGAGAAAGAGAGAGTTCGCTGCGTCTCTCTCTCTCTCTCTCTCTCTCTCTCTCTCTCTCTCTCTCTCTCTCTCTCTCTCTCTCTCTCTCTCTCTCT